GTTTAGAATGTTAAAGTATTGTTTTAAGTTAGGATAAAGATAGAGGTTTAAACAATTTGTGAAAGGTTTGTGAAAAAATTAATTCTACAAAAAAATTCTGTGTCTCTTATAATTCTGATATGACTCAATATGTGTTATCAATAATAATTACAATTGTTATGTTAAATTATTGTACGTCACAGAGGTAACAAATTTCCTTTTAATCGTGTTTTTGGCTGTAGCTGATATAAGATGTTCTGTCATCAATAGACATTTCTTGTCTTATTTCAATCCTCTTTAAAAAGTGGTTTTATAATAAGTTATAGGACTCTAACAAGTGCTCTTAAAGGCATGTTCTTCTGATAACTCCAGAGGCTGGGTAGTGTGACATTAGAATAGGGGAAAATATTTTCAAGACTCTCATGGAGAGCTGAAAGTGTTCATGAATATTAAGCAGAACAGGTGTTAACTGTATTGGCTGAACTAGTAAAAGATTAAAATTATCCTCTTATGCCTTTTTGCTTAAAACATTGCTAATGTTTTGTTTGTTTTCCAAAGCCAAGAAAACTGTTCTTTTGTTCTTTTGAACTCTGTACAGCTTGTAACAATTTAGAAAAGTATACTCCTATAAATAAAATTTGAAGCATATTTCTACCAGATTTCTCAAAAATTTTGAAACTATGAATATTCCTAACTCATAGCAATAAAGTTACTTGCAGACGTGTAATAAGAATGTTTATTTTTTATTTTTATTTTTGCAACAGGGCACAATTAAAGAAACTGTTTATTTTACCAAGACGTTAACTTGAATGCTCTTCTTTTAAGAGCTCAGTTTCAACTTATAGAGCTAATAAAAGCCCCTTGGAAAAACTGGCCTCATAACTTGTCTACACAATCTCTTTACAGGATTTGTTCTTATGGCAAGTAAAGATGTCACTTTCTGACAGGCCCAGGAGCCTGTCAAAATCTGGATCAACGTAACAATCTGGATCAGTATTCTAAATCTGAGCACATATTGGAATCAGCTAGCAACCTTATGCACCCAAGTCTTAGCAGGCGTGACTATAGCCACTGTCTACCTGGGCATGTCAGCAGTCTTGAGATTTTTTTATCTTGGGACCTTGAAAGGAGAGATTTTTAATATCTTAGGACCTTGAGAGGAGAGAAGTCTACCCAACTCATACAGATATTTGATGGCACAAACTCATGGCTAGGCTTAAGGTGTTAAAAAGGTCTTATCTGAGATTCCTTATGAAATGAAGTTTCATCAAAGCCAATTTAAAAAGAAATGTATATGGCAAATAATTACTATTGCTGTGGTTTGTGGAAATAATTGGGCCAAATATAGTAACTCTAAAGCTTGTTTTGCAAACAAATTTGTCCTATCATGATTTATTTTTAATAAAATTGGCAGGGGGAAAATTATATTTGAAGAACTATCATACTAATAACACTAATATACTAGAACTATTAGATTGTATACTTATCGTTTGTTTTTGAACTTCTGTCTGCAATTTAGATTAACCTTGCTTTTTCCTGTCAACTAATTAGTGACCTCTAGCTGCAGCTCAGAAGAAACAAGAGGGTGGATAATGTAACAATATGGATCAATATTCTAAATCTGAGCACACGTTGGAATCAGCTAGCTACCTTATGCACCCAAGTCTTAGCAGGCGTGACTATAGCCACTGTCTACCTGGGTATGTCAGCAGTCTTGAGATTTTTTTTTTTTTGAGCTGTCCTTACCACTTTATTTCATTTTGACATCTCTACTTATCTTAAAACCCAAGGGTCCGTCTATATTTGTGGCTCCTTATTATCTCCCCACTAACTGGATTGTAACTTGTACCATAGGCTATGTATCCCTAGATATTTTCATAGTCCCTAGCAATCTCTCTTTTCCAGTAGTGATTCTGTCTTGCTCATTGTGAAGAGTGCTATCCAACTAATTTTCCTTCTCATGGGATTTGGCATTATACTTGGTCCGGGAACGAGGATTGTTAGAATCACAAAATCCTCCTAAACCTGTAGCCAGCTCTCAAAGAAAATACTCAAAAACTTTGATGCCATGGCTAAAACCTTAACAACTGTGCAAGAACAAATGGACTCCTTAGCAAGTATAGCTCTCCAAAATCATTAAGGACCAGATATGTTAATGGCAGCACAGAGAAGAATTTGTTTATCCCGAGATGAAAAATATTGCCTTTGGGTAAATCAATCAGGAAAAGTACAAGACAATGTCAGATAACTCCCAAACTAAGTCACTTCTAGTTTATAGGAACAAGTCTTCCAGAATTAGTTAAATTGGGAAGGAAGCTGCAAATGGTTCTGCTGGGTTCTTCCCTTTTTAGGATCACTTGTTAGTCTCATCCTTTTGGTCTTTTTTGGTCCATGTCTTCTAAATCAAATAACCCAATTTGTCTCCTCTCACCTTCAGGCCATGAAGCTCTAGATGATCCTCAGTGTGAATATTGAGACTCTTGACTCTTAATATTCAAGAGTCATTCATCTACAAGGGACCCTAGACTGCCCATCATTGAGACATGGCAGGTGAAGTCCTGCCCCTGTCTCCTTTGGACCTGATCAGATACAGCTTTCATCAATCCATGGAGCAAACCCTGCCCTGACAGCTAGCAGGAGGCCAAGACCAAGAGTACAAGTGCAACCATGCTTCTGTCAGCAGGAGGCAGTAACAGTAGACACCTTCATCCATTTTCCCCAAAGAAGTGTGGTCTTTGACTCTTGAGGGGGAAAATGTTATAGTAGGTAGCTAGTCAAGCATAAGCAGGATAGGAGAGGGTGCCCCCTCACACCAGGAATGTCAGGTGATCATCCGGGGATGGTTAAGCAGTTGTTAAGCTGTCTCTCTAAAATAATAATTGATTACAGCCAGTTTCGGGAAAAGGCAGTCTCCCATCTCCCACTAGATAGGAAAACATGAAACTGGTGATAACTTTCCTGATGAGATCTCATGAACTGGATGAGTGGGTTTCAGCATAAGTGCTAAGATTTATGGCAGAGTTTAACTGGTATATGATCTTTCCCTAGGAATGTGACTGGTAAGAGAAGAACATCTCAAGTGAGCATGTGCAAAATTTTGGTAAGCACAAGACACATGTGGCCCCTGTGTGCTGACAAGCTACTGAGCTTGCAGACAGCCCATCCCAAAAGAAGAATCATGCACATTCCCTAAGACAGATACTATGTGAATTGTATTGCTCTTATCAGTGCTTCAATTCAGAGTTTCTTTCTAAAATACTTTCAGAAAATTCCGGGAGGAAATATTTCCTGCATATATAAAACATTTTTTGTGTTGTCCATCATTATATCTCCTCTCTCCTAAATACTTTCATGCTTCCTCACTGTTACTATCTATAAGAACTTTTGGTAATCCAAGAACTTATCACAAAAAAAGACACAATTTTTGGAAACACAAATATTGCAAGCTCTAAACAAACTCCTTCCTTTTAATTTTCTCAGTGACTCTACTTATATTTTACCTATTTTAAATATAATCTAAACAAAACCATTTGTTAATATATGCTACATTTCTCACATAGCTTTCAGTCTTGTGAGAGACATTGAATAATAAACAATTCTATTACAATATGATTCAGTGCTGTGATAAGCCAGCATTTTCTGAGGTCAGCATTTTATTTACTTAATACTTCCCAAATTCATCTACCAATTTCCCATCTTGATTATATGTTTTTAAGAAAGATCGCAGCCATCATGACTTATAGAAATGTGTTCAATTCATTTCTCATGGAGCAGCCAGAATGATCTATTTAATAGAAAGATACTTTAGTCCTTGCTTAAAATATTTCCTTGTGGTTATCCCATTAATACTGAAGTACTAATTTTTTAACATGATTTACTAGACCCATGCGATGTTTCCTTCACTATCCTATCTCTTTATCTTCACCTTATTTCCTACCTTCTATTTGTAATATGTAATCTACAGTCTATCCATGCTACATCGTTTTGGATGAATTATGCTTCATATTCAGCAACAATGCACATGCCATTTCTCTGATTGAAACACACTTCTCATAATCAGCTTCCTCAGCATCTAGTTAACTTCTCTTTTCTTTGGCCTCAGAATTTTATGCACTGGTGGGAATAATAACCTTTCGTTGTGTTTATTGCATTTTTTAGCCAGGTTGGAGGCCAGGACCGTATAAAGCTAAATTCTGCATAGATGTATGACTTTAAATAGAAAGTCCTATGAATTAATAATTTAATGTCCATGCCGTTAAATAAAAAGTTCTTGGATGTGGGATCCCTCTGAAAGAAACACCCCAGCTTTACTTTTTAAAAAATTGTATTTGGTAATAATTACATTTCTGACTCTAGCAATACCCAAGGTATCTTTTTTTTTTTCCGGAAATCTCTTCAAAAGCAACTAAACCAGGTTAATATCTTTTTCACTTTCATAGCAAATTTTATTGATTAGTAAGAGGCATTAGGTTTACTATTTAAATTTATAATTTCTGTTGTTTTTACTTCCATTTTCAAACCAAACTATACAAATTAAATTGTGGGATTCATGTAGCTAGCCCATGCTAAGTATCTGCCATCTACAACATGGAATTCTATTTATTCTGAATGCCTTACTCACATAAGCATCACCCTTGGATTTGAAATTCAGATTTCTAGACCGTCACTAACATTAATAGAGGTAGAGTTTAATAAAGAAAACATGAGAGCCCGGGCGCGGTGGCTCAAGCCTGTAATCCCAGCACGTTGGGAGGCCGAGGCGGATGGATCATGAGGTCAAGAGATCGAGACCATCCTGGTCAACATGGTGAAACCCCATCTCTACTAAAAATACAAAAAAAAAATTTAGCTGGGCATGGTGGTGCGTGCCTGTAATCCCAGCTACTCAGGAGGCTGAGGCGGGAGAATTGCCTGAACCCAGGAGGCGAAGGTTGCGGTGAGCCGAGATCGCGCCATTGCACTCCAGCCTGGGTAACAAGAGCGAAGCTCCGTCTTAAAAAAAAAAAAAAAAAAGAAAAAAAAAAAAAGAAAAAGAAACAGAAAATATGAGAAAATAACAGGAGTCTTAATTCTGAAGGCAGCATGCCTTCTCTTTTGATTCAGTAAAGACAAAAACATATTGAAGTTATTGCTAACCAAAAACTAAAAAAGGAATCTGAAACATGTGCACAGTGGAGTCTCTCTCTACAAATTGAATTTTCTTATGAAGTCAAATAATAATGGAATCTGCTTTAAAACACACTTATTTAGTTTTACCTTCATAATAGGAGAAGTGTAAGTAGCAAGGGCATAAAACAATTCTAAAGGAAAATATCCTAGTTAAACCAGAGGAAGACAGAGAATTCCTTAGCAGAACACTGAAGATCTTAGGGAACAGAGTAGATAGATATGAAAGAGAAAAATAAATGAACCTAGGTCTAGTTGCTTTTTGAGATATTTCCTAAAAAAGATGTCTTAGGCATTACAAGAGTGTAATTATTACCTAAAGAAAAATGTAAAAATGCAGGCTAGAGTGATTCTTTTAGAGGGGTCCTAGGTCCAATAAAGTATGTAGTATCATATTGTTAAGGTATAGATTGTACAGTGAGAGCAATTGGTGAACAAGCTCTTGAAGACTGAGATAGCTTTGCAATGTGTTTACATAAAAGTTGGACTGATTTAAGAGGCAAACAAATGAGAATATCAGAACAAGTGTTAAAATGTTTTCGAAGTGTTTCACCTGACACGATTACTGTGGTTGTTAATGCAGATACTGCCTGTGTTCTGAGAATATGTACAATAAAATTTTGAAAATGTAAATTAATAGGATGTGATATATACTAAATATAGAACATAAAATATACTAAAATTGATCTTGACATGGATGCTGTATTAGATTAGTTGTTAGCCTAACTGAAAAATGCCTCCTGTATGCTATTGTCTAACTTAGGGAAGTAAAGAAAGGCAAGATTATCTTTAAGCAGCAGATAATTTTTCACTTATAAGCAAATGAATTCATACCTATGACTGAGTTCACCCACAAGAAAAAAATGTAAATGATGTGCTGTGAAATCAATATTTTAGCCTGAAAGCAAAGGTTAAGTTAAAGGAAAACAGGAAGTACTGGTACACAAGCAAGAGGCCAACTTAACCAGGTTACATGGTAAAAAATGCAGATGATTGCCTTCTCAAAAGGAATACATCAGAGAAAAATAACACCCAGGTTACATATCTCACAACTGCACAAATAAGTTTGCCATCATATATAGTAACAAGTTTGTGTCATCCCCAAATAATTACAATAGTAATTTCAAAGATCACTAATCACAAATCACTGTGACAGATATATAAATAATGTAAAAATTTGAAATATTGCAACAGCTGCAAAATGTGGCACAGACACAAGGTGAGCACCTGCTCTTCGAAAACGTTCTCAATAGAGTTGCTCAAGGCAGGATCACCGTAAATCATCAACTTGTGAAAAATGCAATATCTGCAAAGTGCAAAACAGCGAAGTGCAATAAAACAAAACATATTTGTGTATCTTCAACATATTAAATAATGGCAGTTTTTCTAGATGCTTGTATCAGTTACATGCTGGTGCAAGTATCCTGACAGACACTCCCAATATTGGTCCTTACATTCCTCATGCTACATGTTGTCACCAATACTTGAAAGTATCAAACATTATAAATTGTATCTATAGATTGCTTTGGGCAGTTCGATAACTTCCAGTGTATTGATTCTTCCAATCCATGAGTGTGGGATATATTTCCATTTATTCATGTCATTTACAAATTCTTTCAGCAGTATTGTATTCTTCTTTTAGAGAACCTTCACCTCCTTTGTCAAGTATATTTCTAGGTTGTATTTGTTTTGTTTTTGTCTTTATGCAACTGTTTTTAAAAGGAATTGAGTATTTTATTTGATTCTCAGCTTGGTCATTGTTGATGTATAGCAGTGATACTGATTTGTATACATTGATTTTTTAATCTGTGACTTTACTGAATTTATTTATTAAATCTAGAAATCTTTTGGCAGAGTTCTTAGGATTTTCTAGGAATATGATCCTGTCTTTGATGAACAGTGATAATTTGACTATCTCATTTCCAGTTTGGACAACATATCTTTCTCTTTCCTGATTAGTCTAGCTAGTACTTACAGTAGTATGTTGAATAGAATTGGTGAAAGTGAGCATCCTTGTCTTGTTCCAGTTCTCAGGGGAAATTTTCAGCTTTCCCTACTCAGTATGATGTTGACTATGGGTTTGCCATATGTGGCTTTTATTAATTGGGGTAAGTCTCTTCTATGCCTACTTTGTTGAGGGTATTTTTTTTTTCAGAAAGGGAAGCTGGATTTTATTAAATGCTTCTTCTGCATCTATTGAGATGAATATATAGTTTTTTGTTTTTAATTATGTGTATGTGATGTATTATGTTTATGTTTTTGAGACAGAGTCTCTCTCTGTCACCAGGCTGGCATGCAGTGGCACAATCTCAGCTCACTGCAACCTCTGCCTTTTGGGTTCAAGGGATTCTCCTGCCTCAGCCTCCCACGTAGCTGGGACTACAGGCACCTGCCACCACACCAAGCTAATTTTTGTATTTTTAATAGAGTTGGGGTCTCACCATGTTGGCCAGGATGGTCTCAATCTCTTGACCTTGTGATCCACCTGACTGGGCCTCCCAAAGTGATGGGATTATAGGCATGAGCCACCACACCCAACCAACTCCATGTTACTTTGTTGAACTTCTGTTGAAATCATCTGTTCATTAATTACAGTGGGATATTGAAGTCCACTAATATTTAGGTATTTTAGTCTATGTCTTTTTTAGTATTAAAGTTTGTTTTATATATGACATGTCGGATGCATATATATTCATAATTGTTGCATCCTGTTGCTGAACTGATTACTTTATCTTTATATACTGACCTTTTTTCCTCTCTTTTTACATGGTTATCTTATCTGTTATAAGTATAGCCACTTCTAATCTTTCTTGACTTCCATTTGCATGGCATATTTTGTTCCATTCCTTTACTTTTAGTCTACATGTGTCTTCATATGTGAAGTGGATATCTTGTACACGTATATAGGTCTTATTTTTCCATCCATTTGGCCACTCTGTCTTCTAATTGGAACTATTAGTCCACGTACATTTGATACTATTATTGATAGGAAACAATTTACATCCACCATTTGTTACTGGTTCTTCGGTTGTTTTGTAACTCTTCTGTTCCATTCTTCTCTTATTTCTGTCTTCCTTTGTGATTAAGTGATATTTCTCTGGCAATACGTCTTAAGTTTTTGCTTTTTAAATTTTATTCTATTATGGGATTTTACTTTGTGGTTACAACAAATCTTGGAAAAAAGAGTCTTATAGATAAAGCAAATTATTTTGAGCAGATGGTAAGATAAATCTGATTAGAAAAAAAGAACAAACAAAAGGAAGACTAAGAACTTTACATTAAAACCCAATCCTTCTCACATTTTGACTTTTTATTGTCTTAATTACCATCTTCTTATGTTGTTTATTTCTTAATAAGTTGTAGTTATGATTTTTTGTCAGATTTGTTTAATATTGATACTAGCGATATGAGTGGATTACACACCACAATTAGAGTATTGGAGTATTCGGTTTGTTGTTATACTTACCCTTTTCATTGAATTTTAAAGCTTCAAATGTTTTCTTTGTGTATGTTAGCAATTTTTTTCTTTCAGATTAAAGAACATGCTTTAATTTCTATGTAGACAAGTCTAGCAGTGATAAAAACCCTATATTTTTATTTGTCTGGGCAAGAGACACTATCTCTTCTTCATATTTGAAGAATGAGCTGATGGATACAGTAACCTTGGTTGACAGATTTTCTTCATTCAGCATTTTGAATATGTTGCCACATTGTCTCCTGGTCTATATATTTTATATTGAGAAGTCTTTTTCCAGGAAAATCAAAGCTCCTTTATATGTTATTTGTTCTGGATAAGGTGTCAGAACCCTGGCATCAGAAAGTGGTCAACTCATGTTTTGGGATGAAGAATTTACTAACAGTATAGGTTTGAAAAATGATAGTTCTATTAGAAAAAATAACACTTCAGAAGTGGACAGTGGGCCATCTCAGCAAGAAAGGACTGAGTGTACCATGGTGAATTTTTCCTTAGGGTTATTTAAGGACATTAAAGCAGGAGCTTAAGGTAATTTGGACAGTATTAGCCACATAGGTGATTACATTTGTAGAAATTTTCATGCCTTAATGACAGCACGGGTTGCACAATGTGTTTTGACATGCATGCATTCCAGAGATGCATAGTAATTCTAGTTACTTATAAATTTGGGAAAGAAATCTGGAACCAGATACCATCTTAGATAATAGGACTCCAGTTACTTCTAAGTTCCTCAGATTTAGGAGTTTTGACTCTGGGTGGTCTGCTTCAGGTGACCTTTACTCATCTCATTTAGGTCCCCTGCCAACTTGCTACTTTATGGATCTCCTCTTTACCCTTCCTCTTTGAGACTTTGATTGTTACATACCTTGGAGTAGTTTCATTTGGATTAAATCTGTTCAGTGATCTCTGACCTCCTATACCTGTATATTTATAGATTTCTCTAGGTTTGGAACACTTTCTGTTAATATTTCTTTGAATATTTTTTTTTATCTTCCTCAAATCCCTCTTGAATGCCAATAACTTCTAAATTTTCTCTTTTAAGGTTATTCTGTGTATCTTTCAGGGGATTTTGTTTCTTCCCATATTTTTAAAATTTTTTTTATCTGGTTCTATTTTCCAGTATCCTGTCTTTGAGCTCATAAGAGTGTTCCTGTTTTTTTTTTTTTTAACTGATGGAGTCTTGCTCTGTCACCAGGCTGGAGTGCAGTGGTATGATGTTGGCTCACTGCCACCTCTAACTCCCTTGTTCAAGCAATTCTTTTGCCTCAGCATCCCCAGTAGCTGGGATTACAGGCACGTGCCATCAAACACAGCTAATTTTTGTATTTTTAGTGGAGATGGGTTTTCACCATGGGTGGCCAGGAGAGCTCATTGATTGTTTCTTCTGCATGATCCATTATGCTGTTCAGAGCCTCTAATGCATTTTTCAGTTCAACAAATATCTTTCTCCTTTCTAGAAGTTATGTTTAGTTTTTAAAATTATATTAGTTCCTTTGTTATTGTGTGTGTGTGTGTGTGTGTGTGTGTATGTGTGTGTGTGTGTGTGATGGAGTCTTGCTTTGTCACGGCTCACTGCAACCTCTGCATTCTGGGTTCAAGCTATTCCCCTTCCTCAACCTCCCAGTAGCTGGGACTTCAAGCTCGTACCACCATGCCCAGCTAATTTTTTGTATTTTATTAGAGGTGGGATTTCACCATGTTGGCTAGGATGGTCTCAATCTCCTGACCTCATGATTCACATGCCTCAGCCTCCCAAAGTGCTGGAATTACAGGTGTGAGCCACCGGGCCCAGCCTCCTTTGTTAAATTTTTCTAAGGTTTTGAATTGATTTTCTTTGTTTCCTTAGAGTTTGCTGAGTTTTATTAGAATTGCTATTTTAAAATCTTTATTTGAAAGCTCATGCATTCAATCACTGGCTCTTGCTTTTTTCATTTGGAAAGGTCATTTTTCCCTATTTGCTATTGTTTCTGTTGGATCTCCATATATGGCTTCACATGAAGGATTATTTATTCCAGTCTTTAGTAAGGCTCGTTGTGGTTATTCTAGGGTATGTTTGCTTAGAAGAATTTTTCAGTTGCCTGTGGATGTTAAAATTACCAATCAAAATGAGGGACTTCTCTTCCTGGGTCGGTGAGGGGCATGGTTCAAAGGCAGGAGTTTCCTGGCTCCATACCTCCATCTGGGAACCACAGGAGTTTCAAATGTAAAGTTCTTTGTCTGGGTTTCCTGTGCACCTGCTAGGAAGAGAAAGACAGGTGAAGCTCTTTTGTCCCAAAAAATCCACAGAAAGCTCTGGGAGTAGGGGGCTCTGTAACTCAGAGTTGTGGACCAAACAGCCAATCTAGTATCAGAGTCAAAGATCAGTCATTCCAGAGGAATTTTGAAAGAACTCCTCTCCTTGGACAAGAACATGAATGGGGAGGGAATAACTCAAGGGTTAAAATTCCAGCTGCTCCTGGATTCCTTCTGTGGGTCTCCTCCCACAGCTTGGGAGCTGTCTCTTTCTCTCTCTCTCTCTGTCTCATAAATTGCTTTTCTGCAAAACTTTTTCGGTCCATGATATTTACTCCACAGCAAACTCACCAGGCCTCCAGGGTCCCTTTACCCATTGTTCTGGGTTAGCTAGACTAAGAACCTCTTCAGAACTGGGAGCTGGAGATGCTCACTCCCCCAGTTACAAAAGTAACTGGGAAGGAGTGGGATGTTAAAATAAATAAAAGCTGGCAACATTTTGCACTTGAGGAATTACAGGAGAAATGCTTTGAGTCAGATATGCAGTATAGTGGTGACCTTGAATGTTCTGTTCAGCTTGGAGTAGGATTCTGCTCATGGCTTGTGTTATAGCAGAGTATCCATCCTTAGGAATAAAATTGTAATGATATGAATAGAAATATGAGAGAACTAGTGTACAAAGGAATGAGATAGTGAGATAATCGAATACATGACTTTGACAAATAAAATAGTGGATGCTGAAAAGACCATGACTTAATATGCAAGTACTTACATAGGGTTAGGCAAAGCTATGCATGTGAGGGGTAAAGCAGAAATACTTAGTACAAGCCCCCCAAGTTGTGGTGGTCATGGCAAGGAACTGAGGGAATCCTTTTCTGAAGAGACTAGAAAGTGACCTTGGAATTAAAATTATTGTTTTTTTTAATGCTAGTATAAAGAAAAGAGAGAGAAAATGTGCAACAATTTTGAAAAAGGATTGCATTTTAGGCAAACAGGTTAATGTGGTAGTGAATTAATCTTTAGGAAACTCATTTTTAGTAGATGTCCAGTCCATAATTATGTAAACTGCAACTTTTTTCTGGTCTTAATATTCTGTGGTTTAGAAATATTAGAAACAGCTAAAATAAATGGACTTTAACACCCACAAAAATACAGATAGCAAAGAATTAGAGAAATCAAAACTATCTTAAATGCTATTAATTAATTCTAAAAGTACCTAGCTTTCATTAAATTCTGCTTTCTGCTGCATTCTTAGGAGGATGGGACTGATTTGTGAGCAGCAAATCTGATACAGCCACAGTATTGTTTTTTCAACATGAGAAAGGAGGGAAATAACTTTTAAGACATCAAGTCTTTCAGAGGCACATTTGTGATTAAATTGAGCAATTTCAGCTCACTGTTTAAAAAAGGACTATATAATGCAAAAATTATGCACAGAGTGGATAATAAAAGATGTGACTGGAGAGATTAAAAGTTAAACAAACCTGCAGAAATCACAGCATGACAGCAAATTCCAGATGGCTGCATTCCCCGGGGTCCTTGAGGAACTTTGAAAGGGTAAGCTGCGTGTCATCCAACAGATTTTCATCTCTGAAAGCCTATAAATGAAGAAAGAAATGTTTCTGAAAATCCACCACTTCAAAGAACAGTTGTTTTGAACTCTGTGTGAGGACTTGGCCGAGTTCATGACTCAGTCACCCAAAAAGCCCATGCTCATGGGATTAGAATTGTTCTAACAAGAATTTGCTCTTATGCTCTGAATACTATTTATTTTGCAGATGTATCTGAAGACAATTCCAAAATCTTGTATTTTCTTTTCTATCTTCATTGAGGTATAATTGTTGAATAAAAATAGTATATGTTAAAGGTGTATAACGTAATGGCCTTATATATGTAAACACTGTGAAATTATTATAGCAATGGAGTTAATTAACATATCCATCACCTCACACAGTTATCTTTTTATTCGTGTGTGGTGAGAACACTTAATATCGACTCTCTATGCAAAGTTGAAATATGCAAGATAGTATTACTTACTATAGTTACTATACTGTACATTAGATCCCCTGAACTTATTTATATTGTACCCTTTGATCATTGTCTCCCCTGCCCAGTTTTTTTCTCCCTCCTCCAACCACTTCCCATCCCTTGAAACTGTTATTTTACTTACTGTCTCTATGAGTTTGACTTTTTTAGACTCCACATGTGAGATGATACAATATTTATCTTTCTATGTCTGGTTTATTTTATGGAGTACAGTGTCCTCTAGGTTTATTTATGTCATAAATGGTCAAAAGAATTTTCTTTTTTAAGGCTGAATAACAAACATTTAATTTTATATTTATCTCACATTTTCCTTATCCATTGTTCCAATGACAGACACTTAGATTGCCTTTATAGCTTGACTATTGTGAATAATGCTGCTATGAACATGAATACCAAAATCTCTTTGAGATACTTACTTCAATACTTTGAATATATACTCAGAAGTGGGATTGCTGGTTCTTATGAGGTTTTACTAAGACTTTAAGGTAACTTCATACTATTTTTATAATATCTACACAAATTTACGTTCTCACCAAAAGTATATAAAATTCTCATTTGTAAAACATCTCTGTGACACAGGTTTTACCTGTATAACAAACCTGCATAGCTTCCTTGAATCTAATATAAAAGTTTTAAAGAGTTCTCTTTCTTCCATATCCTCACAAACATTTCTTATTGATTGCTTTTCTGATAATAATCATCCTAACATATCTGAAGTGATATCTCACTGGGGTTTGATGTGAATTTACCTGATGGTTGGTAAGACTGAATACTTTTTCATACACCTGTTAGCTATTTGTATATCTTCTTCTAAAAAATGTCTATTAAGATCTTTGGCTATTTGTAAATTGTGTTATTTGTGGAGGATTTTTGCTTTTGAGTTGAGTTCTTAAATGAGCTTTAGCCTTTATCAGACACATGGTTTTCAAATATTTTCTCCCATTTCACAGGTTCTATTTTTGTTATGTTGGTTGTTTCATTTACTGTGAAGAAACTTATTGGTTTGAAATAATCCCACTTTACTTTTGCATTTGTTGCCTTTGCTTTTGGTGTCATATATCATAAATCATTTTCAAGACCAGTCTCAGGAAATTTCCTCCTCCTATTTTGCTAGTGGTTTTGTGGCTTTATGCATCACATTTAAGCTTATAATTCATTTAAATTTTGCTTATGGTGAAAGATAAAAGTCCAATTTTATTCTTTTGCATATGGATATCAAGTTTTCCCTCTACCATTTATTGAAAAGACTATCATTTCTTCATTGTGGATTCTTGGCACCTTTGTCAAAGATTAGTTGACCATATGTTCATAGTTTCATTTCTGGCCTAGCAATTCTGGTCCATTGTTCTATATGCTGTCTTTTGTGCTGGTATCATGCTGTTTTGATTACTAGAACTTTGTAATGTAGTTTGACATCAGGAAGTGTGATGCCTTCCTACTGAAGATTGCTTTGTTTATTTAGGGTCTCTTGTAGTTCCATATGGATTTTGAGATTTTTTTTTTAATTTTTGTTAAAAATGCCATTGAAATTTTGTTGGGATTGCACTGAATCTGTGGATCACTTTATGCAGTATGGATATTTTAATAGTGTTAATTATTCCAGTTCATGTAAAGAACATAGCTTTCTGGTTTTTTGTCTTCTTCAATTTCTTTCAGTTAACTTCCTTGGTTAAATCTATTTCCAAATATTGTATTCTTTTAGATGCTTTTTAAAATAAAATTTTTTCTCATTTCCTTTTCTGATAGTTTGTTATTAGTATATAGAAACACTATTGAATTTTGCTTGTTGATGTTGTGTCTTGCAATTTTACTAAATTTATTTGTTCTAATAGTTATTTTGTTGGATATTTAGGGTTTTGAATATGTCAGATTATGTCATGTCTAAATACAGAACAAAATCATTCTTCCTTTATAATATAGATGCTTTTTCTTTCTTTTTTCTGGTCTAACTGAATTTGGTGAGGACATCTAGTAGTATGTTGAACAAAAGTGGTAAGGTGGACAGCCTTGTATTATTCCTGATTTTGGAGAAAAATATATCAGCTTTTCACCAATAAATATGATGTAAGCTGTGGGCTTGTCACATATAGCCCTTATTAAGTTAAGGTTAATTCATTCTATAACTAATTTGTTGAGAGTTGTTTTATGATAAAGATGTGATAAGTGTTGTCAAAGGCTTTTATTGCATCTCAATATAAATTATATTTTTATCCTTGACTCTGTTAATATGGTGGATCACATGTACCAATTTGCATGTGTTTAACGATTCTTGCATGGAAAGGATAAATCCTTCTTGATCATGATGTACAATCCTATTACTATGCTATTGAATTTAATTTGCTAATATTTAGTTGACAATTTATGCATTTATGTTCATCATGGATATTGCCCTGCATATTTTTCTTTTTTCTGATGTTTTCATTTTCGGATGCATGTATCAGGGTAGTTCTAGTCTCATCTAATGAGTTTAGATTTTTTTTTCCATTTTTTTTGAAGTGTTTGAGAGGAACTGGCATTCAATCTTCTTTAAATGCTTGGTAAAATTCACCTGCTAAGCCCGTTGGTGATTGACTTGTCTTTGTTAAGAGGTTTTTAATAACTGCTTCAATTGCTTTACTGTTTATTCTGCTGTTCAGGTTTTCTGTTTCTTTGTGATTTCATCTTGGTAAGTTGTATGTTACTAAGAATTTCTTAGTATATTTCTTCTAGTATATTAAATTTTTGGCATATAATTATACATAGTAGTTTTTGAACATTTGTATTTCTTTTGTATCAGTGATGTCTCCTCTTTCACTTATGATATTATTTGAGTGTCCATCTACAGGTTTATTTTTTTGTATCTTTTCAAAAAACAACTCTCAGTTTTATTGATTTTTAAAAATTGTCTTTGTGGGTCTATATTTCATTTATTCTGCTACGATATTATTATTTTCTTCTGTAATCTTCTATAATCATTACTTTCTTCTGCTTTGTGCTATTTGTTTTTTCGATTTCTTGAGGCATAAAGTTAGGATGTTTATTTGAGGTCTTTCTTATTTCTCCATATAGGCATTTATTGCTAAAAACTTTGGGAAATACTTTTGCTCCATCCGATAAATTTTGATACGTTGTCTCTATATTTGTGTTTATTTAAAGATATATTTAATTTATTTTTTTATTTTTCTTTGTCATATTGTATTTCTTTGAGTTCATATTTACCTTAACAGTGAGTTTTATATTTTCTTGTATAGTCATGTTCAGGATGATTTGTAAATTTCACATATTTGTGAAATTTCCAATTTTCCTCAAGGTATTTATTTCTATTTTTATAACAGTATGATCAAAAAAGAAATTTGATGTAATTTTAATCTTTGACAATATATTCAAACTTGTTTTGTGGCCTAAAATGTGATCTATCCTTGAGAATTCTCTATGCAAGCTAGAGAAGAATGTGTATTCTGTTGCTGTTATATGTAATATCATATATATGTCTGTAAGGTCTATTTATCTAAAGTGTAATTCATGTCCAAAGTTTTCTTATTGCTTTTCTATCTCCATGATCTATTCATAGCTAAAATTGGAATATGGATGTCACCTGCTGTTATTTTATTCTTATATATCCCTACCTTGTGTTCTACTAATATTTACTTGATATGTTTAAGTTTTCTGATATCAGGTTATTGCAGATTTACAACTGTTAAATCTTTTTGATGGATTGAATCCTAATTATTGCAAAATGACTTCTTTTGTCTGTTTCTACAGTTTTTGACTTAAGTTCATTTTGTCTGATATAACTATTCCTGCTCTCTATTTGTTTCTATTTGCATAAAATATATTTTTAATTTCCTTTGCTTTCAGTCTCATGTGTGCCTTTAATGCTAAAACAAGCTCTTGGGTGGAGTATATTATTCTTTCATGTTTATTTTGAATTTTACCCATTCAGATACTCTGTACCTTTTGATTGAAAAATTTATTCAATTTACGTTTTAATTTTTTAAACTATTTTGTAGTTCTTTGTTCCTTTCTTTCTCTCTTGCTTTCTGTGTTATTTACTTGCATTTTTGTTTGTATATTTAAATTTTTTTCTATTTATCTTCTGTGTATATACTGAAAAGTTTTTTCTTCATGGTTACCATGAAGCTTACATGAAAAAAAATCTTATAGTAATAGTCTACTGTATATATATATATATATATATATATATATATATATACATACATATATTTATATACATATACAATATATATATATTTAATTGTGTTTTTGGTTTTGGGGTACATGTGAAGAACATGCAAGATTGTTGCATAGGTACATACATGGCAATGTGGTTTCTTGCCTTCCTCCCCATCACCTATATCTGGCATTTCTCCCCATGTTATCCCTCCCCAACTTTCCACCCTCCACTCTCCCTCCCCTGTTCCCCCCCACAGACCCCAGTGTGTGATGCTCCCCTCCCTGTGTCCATGTGTTCTCATTGTTCAACACCTGCCTATGAGTAAGAACATGCAGTGTTTGATTTTCTGTTCTTGTGTCAGTTTGCTGAGAATGATGGTTTTCAAGGTTCATCCATTCC